TAGTAATGATTGAATTAATAAATAATTATAGTAACCTTATTTTGGTATGAGGAATAATAAAAAGATGCGAGAAAATGCGAGAAGAAGAAGCCAGAAGCACATGCACGTTGGATATAATAATATTCCTATTGCTTCTCCCAACTTATATGTATGACATTGATTTGATCACTGAATGTTTTTCCTTGGCCAAATTATTTTAACTATTGCAATTTCATAGTTAGACATTCGTTATTAAACAAGTTTTGAAACATATTATTATCAGTTTTTTTTTTGTTTTTTGTTATTTATTGTGATGACACATCATATAATTGTCAGTTTTTAAACAAAAATCGATATTGGCTTTGTTTTCTCATTAGCGACATTGACCTTTCTTGGTCGTGAAGAAAACTCACTATGCAGACGCAAACCACTACAAATGCATTATCAAACAATTGTACTTTTTCTATTATCTTCTTTTTTTTTTGTTCTTTAAAACTTTTTATAATAATTAAGTGATTTCGTATCCTTCCCCTTTTTTGTTTTTCATCAATATCAATTATCGTATTATACATTTTTTATGATACGAATATGGAAAACAATCCATCACAAACTATCCAAACAATCATGTGATCATCAGAAAATATTCTTTTTTTTTTTGTGTGTGTGTGTAGATTCTACAAATTTGTAAGAGATTACACATATATGGTACATGAAAATTATATACAGTATGTTGTAATTTGTAAAAACTTTTGACATAAACGATGAACAGTTATCTAATACATGAAAATGGAAAGGTGGGAAATTATAACTTAGAAGAAGCAATTTTTTTTTTTGTTTTGGAAGAAGCATTGTTGTTGTTGGCATTTTTGAGTAAGAGATATTGGTAGAGAGAGCATATCCAAAGCAATGAACAAAATGGGAGAAAGGAAAAAGCAAATAATTCTTATTCCTTGATACCTTCTTCATCTCCTCCACTTCTTTATTATACTCCTTAGATTCGTAAAGAGAGTCTATATTATTTATAAAGCCTACATCTCTTTTTTCTTTGGATTAGTAGATTTGATTGCATACTCACCGAATTCAAAACTAAATAATATTTGGTATTACATATGTGCTAGCTTTTCAAATACTATTGTTGGGTCGTCTTAGCTTTGGAATGTGAATCAGTGCTTCGCAAGGCCCAATACAATCCTTGTTGGAGGATATATCGTTGTCTTTCACCTTGCTGGGCCTTCAGCCGAAGACGTTACCCCCTTCCTGAGTCTTGGACCCTTATCCTATTTCCACTATCTTTGGATTTGCTTTGGACAATCATAAGTCTTAGCTAAGAGCTAACCCTGTCATACCTAAGCAGTATCTGCTGCGTTATCTCTGTAATAATACTCGACTAGTCGACTGGTGTTTCTGGTTGTAGATATTACTCGAGCTATACATAGTTATAAATCCAAGTATAGTTGGAGTAGTCTCCCATCCCAAATATGTTTGATAATTGATACAAATCTGAACCAAATTGGGCTTAAACCATTTAGTTCTACTACTAAACCATATGCTAACATTAAAGAGTCATGAGATGATGATACACACTAACGTGCGTGTTTTCACCCTTTCTTTTTATCAACAAGCTTGATGTGTTGAGTTAATGATTGCTTTGGCAATAAATCCATAAATGTCAGAAGAATATACAAATTTCAAACTGTACTTTGTTTAGTATAGTTTAGTTTTTAATATGACTTTCTAAATAATTAGGATTTTGTGAAAAGCTAATAATTTTTTCTCTTTTGTTTTTGGTCGAGACTCGAGAGTTTGAGTATCAAGGAGATACCAACACCCTCAAAGGCAAAGCCATCACGCTTACTAGACATACTTTCTCGATTCAAATAGTTTTTGCTTTACTCTTTTTTTGTTTTCTCCAATAGGTTATTATAGTGTACTCTTCATATTATTGTTAGTCTCTCAAATTGCATTTTCAAAATAGAGTTAATTACAAAAAAAGTATAGAAACACGGATGCCTTTCGTAAATAGGAACAATGCCTACTAAACTTCAGATTTAGGAACTTCTGTTTTCTAAAATGACTGTATTACCCTTACTCTCACATCTTATATTGAGGTTGGTTTACATCCGGTTAACAATTAATTGGTTCAATAACAAATGCATATACGAATGGATAAACTCCTGCAGCTCCTTCTCACTTTCAACAACACCGCAACAGAAGCATTTAAGTTGTAACTAGATTTCCCGAGATCTCAGTTTTGAGTTTTGTTCATGTACTATAAATTTAATGGTTTCTCACTTTGATGAATATACAGAAAATCTTCGATCTCTTTACTCTTTATCTTACAAACAAAACAAGTATAGTTTACGCTAATGGTTTCTTTAAACCCTCAGATTCCAATAAACATGCATTACTGAAACACGTTTAATTATAGGTACATTTAAAAAAAAAAATCATCATATTCATTGTATCAAAGTACGTTAATGATATCCAACCATGTTTATTTATAGTGTCATTCATGAATCACAATTACAC